ATGTCTTCTTCAAGAATAACCCTTCCAAGAGACTTAAGTTCATTTGTCAGTGTAGTGAACCTAGTATAAATCTCTTGGATAGTTTCTCCTTCCTTCATAGTAAAATTCTCATATTGAGAATACGGTAGTGTTCCTCTGGACCTCTTCACTTGAGGTGTTCCTTCATGAGCCACTTGCAAAGTGTCCCAGATTTCCTTAGCAGTGGTACAGCTTTGAATTCTACTGTACTCGTCTGGACCAAGTCCACACACAAGCCATTTCTTGGCCTTTGCATTCTTTTCCCACTTCCTCAAGTCCTCAGCAGTGCAGTCAGCTCTTGTCTTTGGCACATCCACTCCTTCAGCATTCTTCTTTGTAGTTGCTAGAGGACCATCAGTGACTATGTCCCAGAGTTCATAGTCTTCTCCTATGATGTGATCCCTCATCCTGTTTTTCCACCAAGAGTAGTAGTGGCCATTAAAGAGTGGAGGCCTATCAGTGGATTGCCCTTCCTAGTTCGCAGGTGGCGCACTCATGTTGATCTTTTCCTAAGGTGTTAGCCTCTTCAAGGATAACCTGCTCTGATACCAATTGATGTTCTAAACGTCAATGCCACACAAGAGGGGGGGTGATTTGTGTGGTACCCAATTTTTGCTTAAACTGCTTCTGGAAGGACTTGGTTCTTCTAGGTGTACTAACGACTACTGTTTGCGGAATTAAAAGTACATAAAATAAAGAACACAAAGATTTTTATGTGGAAAACACCTGGCTCAAAAGGTGAAAAAACCACGACCTACTACTCAGTAGGATTTTTCCAAACTTCCACTAAAATCACTGAGCCAAAACTGCATTTACAAAACTCTTTGTAAACCTAAGGATTAACTCTAATCCCGTTGTAGCAACCAGCCTCTAACTGCTGCGACAACATCAAGTTAACTCTAACTTGAATACTCAAAATACCTATTACAATTGCTTCTAGATAAAGCTGAAAGGTACAATATGAAACACCTACTACAATTGAACTAGAAATAAAGAAAGACACATAAAACTCTTTATGGAGCTGGTTCTTCAATCTGGTTCTTGTAGTTTCAGGTTTGCACACTTGAATCACACACAAATTGCTTGCAAAAAGCCTTGCTATTTTGCTCCCAATTCACGTTTAACTTCTGCATTTTTGTGCAACACCCGTAATGTGAGAACATCCTTCAATTTATAGAGTTAGAGATGAAGAAATAACTAGAGTTCTGATGCAACTCTTCCTTGGTGGAAGAGTTCTAGTTGATTTCAACTTCTAACTCCTTTCCTATCTTAACTTGTGTTCTCTTTGATTAAGGACTCCTTCTCCTTATCAATTATGCAACCTTTTCGATCAGGAGATATTAAATACACCAAGTTAAGCTTATCTCCTTCACGTGCATCCCACATGCTTGAATCTGCCCGTTTTTGTGAACCTGAAGGATGGACCACTGGATGGACCTGGTTCATGTCTGAGTTCCTTTGTCAGTCTTCAAAACTAACCTTTACTTGGGCCAACAGCTACGTACGGGCTCACGTCACCTCGCGCGTACGTTGACCCCCACAATAAGTAGCACACATCAACATACAACACCTAGGGGTAATTTCTCCTTCACAGAGTTAGACATGAGACTTACCTCGCTTCGAAGTTCCATGCCCGGCTCCAACGCCACTCTAACACCTCAAATCGATGCCCGTTGCTCTAGAACTAGTCAAACAACGTGCAATCCAATAAAAATATACTCTAATACTCATAATAAATCAATTTATGACAATTCCAACTCCATCTCGAAAAGTTAATAAAGTCGACCCTCAGGCCCACGTGCTTGAATTCTAAAAATTTTTGAAAATAAATATTACCCATAACTCATATGGTCTATATCCAGAAAATTATCCAATTGCATCCATGAATCGATCTTCAAATCAAGGATTTACCATTTCTCAACCTTGGGGCTCAAAATCTTATTTTTACAATCTAAACACGGATAAAAATAAAAACCAACAAAAATAATCATGGAGAAACATCAAAATAAAATTCAGATATTTACTCCTTGTTGAGACGAGAACAACGTCGCAAAAATCACCTCAAACGGAGTTCTAGAACTCAAGATATGCCGAAAATACTAAAATTCTCGGTTTAAAACATTGTCTAGGCGATTTTTCTTCATCGCCTTCGCGTTCGCGAAGAAAATTTTTCACGTTGACCGGTCAGCCCAGAAATCCTTCTTTGCGTTCGCGGAACCTCGCTCGCGTTCACGAAGAACAAATCTTCGCACCAGAAACCTGCAATTTTTTCCAACACGGAAATGAGCATAACTCTCTCATACGACATCGAAATTCGACGATTCTTATTGTTCTGGATCCGTAATTACGATACAGATTTAATGGTTCAATAAAATCACAAATGAAAGGTTGTTTTCTAAACATAGTTCCCTTTATGCCCAAAGAAACGAGGCCGAAACATCAAATAAGAGCGCGACACATCCCAAACACCTCTGAAACACACCCGAGGCCCACCAGGACCCCGTCCAATCACACAAACCACTTTCATAACGTAATACGGACTTGCTCGAGGCCTCAAACCACATCAAACAAAAGCAAAATCATGAATCTCACCCCCAATTCAAGCTTAATAAACTTTAGAACTCAAACTTCTACATTCGTTGCCGAAACCCATCAAATCACGTCCGATTGACCTCAAATTTTGCACACAAGTTATATTCGACGTTACTAACCTACTCCAACTTCTACAATCGGAATCCAACCCCGATATCAAAAAATTCATGCCCGGTCAAACTTCTCAAAAACCTTTAAATTTCTAACTTTTGCCAAATGGCCCCGAAATGACCTACGGACCTCCAAATCCACTTACGGACGCGCTCCCAATACAAGAATCATCATACGGAACTATTCCCATACTCAGAATCCCATACGGACATTGATAACATTTAAATACACCTCAACCCAAATTTATAAAATTCTTCCAAAATGCCAACTTTCACAATAGGCGCTGAAACGCTCCCGGGTCATCCAATGTCCGATCCGAAGATATGACCAAGTCCAAAAGCATCATACAAACCTGTTGGAACATTCAAATCCCGATTCCGAGGTCGTTTACTCAAAAATCACACTTTAGTCAATTCTTCCAACTTAAAGCTTCCGAAATGAGAATTTTCTTTCCAAATCAACTCCGAACTTCCCGAAATTCTATTCTGACCACGCATGCAAGTCATAATACCTGAAGTGAAGCTACTCAAGGCCTCAAACCGCCGAACGATGTGTTAGAGCTCAAAACGACAGGTCGGATCGTTACATCTATATATTCTATAAAATATTTATTGTTTATGTTTCGATAGTGTATAGTATTGTGAGTTATTGTAATTATGACCTTATTTTTGTATATCCCTATACGGAGCATCAGACCCTTAAATGAAGAGTGTGGATCACCTATATATGTGGCCCAGAAGTATGTGTGACCACTTTCATAAACGGTCAAACCTATACCTTGCACCTTTAAGTATATGTTTAGGTTGGATTCCTGGAGTTAGTGTTATATCTAGTCTACTTTTTATTTGTAAGTAGAGAGATGCAATTTTACTACATTTTACATGGAATTTTGGTTTTTAAAAATGTTAAAAATTAAAAAAAAAAAAAAGGCAACCTCTACTGTACCTGAAAAGAGATTACAATTACAATGAGAGGGATATACAGGGGTGTCAATGGTTCGGTTCGGCCGGTTATTTTATAAAATTTGTACCATACCAATTTTTCGGTTATTCTATTATGTATAACCAAAATTGGACTTTTCGAAACCGTCCCAATCATGACGGTTTCTCTTTGGTATTGGTACGGTTCGGTAAATATTCAATAATTTTTTTTAATGTCATGTAAAAATCACTACTAGAAGTAGAATGCAATAACATACGTACTTTTATAGGACTTAGCAAAATGCTCTAGATATTTTTACAGTTTAAAAGGAGATAAATTAAGAAAATATAAAAGATGGCTAGAATATAGATCCATCAGCTATTCTACATCAGCGTAAAAGAAACTAAGCAAATACAAAAAAATATAAATCACACGAGTGGAAAGATATTAACCAAGTTGGGTCTCAAGAATAAAGTCTATAGAAGATTAAATATTCAAAAAGATAAATCTAAATCATACGAAAGGAAACATATTCAATACATTGTAGTTTTCTACTCATAATCGCTACAATACCTTGTGTTTTGCTAGTGAATATGCCGGAAATAATTTAGTTTCAATAGGAGTAGCATAATAGATTTGGGAATTATGATTCTAAGTTTAATTACTTGTTGGCTTGTAACTATTTCATAATTCCAAGGTCCCGGAAATTTTTTAATGCTTTATCATTTTTAAACTTAATATATAAATATATTTTTCACATTGTAAATTTATTCGGTACGGTTCGGTATTTTTTCGGTTTATTTTTATAAAATAAAAACTTACCCTATTTATCGGTTCGTTTATATATTTATATAAAAACCTACGGTTTTATTAAATGAAACATACAAATTGGTTCGGTACGGTACGGTTCGGTCGGTTTAATCGATTTTTAAATATCCATTGACACCCCTAGGATATAGTACCAAACATCTGCGGTGCATAGGGAATAATTCTAGTCCTAGCTAGGTAGTAATGTGATAACTACTAAAATGTGTGGTACAACAAACTCTATTGAAGCTATTGGTTAGCCATACTCCTTAGTATGTTTTAGTTTTAGGAAAGTAAAACAAACTCTATTAAACAACTTGCCAGGCTCCAGGTTTTATTAAATGCATTACGTTTCATGTATAAATGTCAATGTTAATGCAACTTGCATTGACATCAGTTTTTCCTTTTAAATCTATCCATTAATTACATGCTAATTTATTTAGTTAATAATCTTAAATGGTAAGTTTCGATTCCAATTCTTTATTTCCAAACAAATTATAAAGCCATCTCATGGACGCTAAGTTTTATTCACTGTTCGAAGCTAGCTGGTAATATATACATGTAATTTTTTTAGCTTCTCTTTTTCTATGGGATTTCAATGGTTAGTTTTTTCTAATTATTACTTTTGGAAACAAATCTTTTCGCTCTTTATTAAGTCATAATTTGTTGGTTCCTTTGAATTACTTTTTTTAGTATCTAAATTGGTTTGAAGTATTTGATAGATGAATATATATAACATGCATGCGTGTTGCAATTTTAAGAAATTGGTATATGCAACTCTCGACGTATGTTTTGGCGTTTTCACTGTATTCTTTATCTAATTTATGTATTATATATAACACCTAATATAATTAACATTTATTTCTTTTCTTTTTGAAACATTTGCAGTGGAAATATGATTTCAAGATTAATTATGGTTGTTGCTCTTGTGGGTTCTCTTGTTTGTGGAATCAATGGCGAAGGGACTTATAGTAGGAAACTGTACGGAGGTGGCCAAATAATTATCTCACATGAAGGTGGAATTAATCCTGCATTAAGTGGAGGTATTGATAGTTTCCCTAAAATAAATTCCATTGCAAACTGATCGTATCAATGCAATCAACATCCATTTGGTTTTTGTTTTGGTCCTGCAGATTATCCACTTCCATTAGGCATGAATGATTTTCGTGGCGAGAATTTTCATCCTGGATCCAGGCAACCAAGTGGTCCATTTGGCGGCGTGAATGATCTTCCTGATCAATCAAATAGTCCATTTGATTATCGTCCTGTAGGGTGATTATCTTCCGGGATCTAGGCAACCAAGTGGTCCATTTTAATTTTCCTTCTAATCCAGCTAATAAAATTCTATTTTGCATGAATGATCTTTCATTATAATACCAGAATTATGATATAGTTATTAGAATGATAGAATGGTAGTTCAGTCTTGTAATGATAGAACCTCCCGAACAAGCATTCTACCTTGTTTGCCTTCTTAAAAGTTTGAAAAGAAATTAAATACAATGAAACTCCAACTTTGAATTTGTCCTACTTTTATCAAGGGTTAATTAACTTTGTTTACTACAAAACATTAAACTAACAGTAACTTAGTGTGACGTTGTTATTAGTCTTCATGCAAGAGAGAGTCAAATAAGACTATACTTTGTGTCACAAACAAGTTGTCAACGGTTGAAGATTTTTAAACCACATTACCCCTTTAAAAATAGCTAGAAATATGACGTATAATATTGTAACAGAATTAATGTAGAGATGAAAAATAGAACACCACCGAATATCAAAACAGCCATTAATCCCCTGTTGCATGCCCCTTCCTCTTTTGTCCAGAAATGCACATCTTAACAAAGTAAATCATAAACATTAAAAATGGAATTAACAAAAACAACCAAACTAAAGAGAACATAAAAGAGTAAATAACTACTTTGTTCCATTATATAGATAAGAAGTTGACATTATAACAAAGTAGCTAGCTTATTATCAAAATATGGAGACAAGTCTCAGACCATGTTGGTGCAGTCAGTGGCCTTGAACGAGACACTCATATTTTCTAAATCATAGGCGACTAGGAAGTTGGTTTGGGTCACACTGCCGAAGAAAGCCTCATTTTCAGTTGGACGAAATGCTAGGCACTGATATCCGTGAGGATCTGGATGCATTATGTTCTCGACGGACAAAGGTAGATCAGCACCCAGAAGATGCATTGTGATTGGAGGAACGTCACTGGAATTCAAAGCTCTGTAACAGAGTACAGTTGAGCTGCTGCCTCCGTCCACCACTGGTTCTACATGGTCTCACCACTAAAATAAGCTGGTTGTATAACCACGTAGGAAGGGAAGTGAAGGTGGTTCCTGAATCTATGATTATGTTCCCTGCTTGAAATGTGGCAGAGGAATTTTTAAGAAGCTCCAATCTAACATTCCCAATACTAAGGCCGATGAGGGTCAAGTAATAAGATGGTCGGGAGGGTTTAACAAGAAGTGGAGTGACATGCGTCCCAGGCCCCGAGACGTCAACCTTGTCACCAAAGCTAAGCTTGCTTGGGACATCTAACTTTGCCAAAGGCACAAAGCAGAAGGAGAACCTTTGGTCAAAAGTCGACGCAATTTGGGAAATTAAAGAGAAGGGAGAAAAACCGAGCCCCACAACCCCGGATAATCCTGGGTCTCCTGAAGTTATTCTTGAGTTGCGTCCACACCCGAAAAGGATATTGGGAAAGGAGATTTTTTCACCAGACGATGAGTAGAGAGAGAGAGAGTTTCTGTAGCCACTTCGCCGGACGAAGAACTCTTATCAACGTAATCGACATAGTAGGAGCAGATACCTCCCTCGCAATGTGCAAAGTCGGAGCACTTTGGCGAGTGGCAAGGTTGTTCCTCATAAGTAGAAGAATTTGCGGGAGCATAGATGGGAAATTTCTGGTTGTAGCACTGACATGGCTGGCATTGTATCCATATGAAGCCACTACCAGTATCAGCAATTGCAAGCTGAAATTGCGGAGGCGTTCCCACTGAAAAATTCAGTAGGTAACTACCAAAAGCATCAGGGATCAAGTCTGCTGAGGCTACGTGGTTGACTAGAGGTGACAACTTTGACGAAGGGTGGATTAAGTCGATGCTAAATCCACGGCCAATCGTACAAGTTTTGGCCCCATCTACACGCAGTGAAGAGTAGATGAGATTAGTGATAAGTGAGATTAAAAAGGAAAAAGTAATAATCAGAAGGGTGGAAGAAAAGAGATTGGAAGTAATTTTTAGGGCCATAGTGATTCAGTACTGGAATGCTGGAGTTTAGTTGTGTTTTGAAAGAAAGAATGTGGCCTATATTTATAGGCAAATTGTTCCACACAACCGAAATCATAGTATAAACTTCGACAATTATTATGAGAGGGATATGTTACCAACCTCTGCAGTGCAGTGGGAAGGTAAATAGCAAACAACTCTTTTCGTTAAACTTCTAAGGCAACCTAGCTAACTTTGGATGCCATCTAGTATAATTCAAATTGGTTTGCTGACAAAATCATGCAAGGCATTATAATACGGGCACTGTATAATATAGTTAGTAGTATCAAAGAATGGCAATTCAGTCTTCTAATGATAGAATCTCCTGAACCAAGCATACTGCCTTGTTTGCCTTCTTAGAAGTTTGAAAAAAAAATACAATGAAACTCTCACGTGGAACTTTAAACTTGTTCTAATTTTATTTTAATTAACTTTGTACTCCGGTTTTACTACTAAAACTAACGAACTCTTACGCTAAAATTTTTTTTCTTCCTCTTTCCTTTCTCTTTTCCTTCCATATGTCGAACTTTCGATTTCTACTAAGAACACTATATTTATTTCTTTCTAGTTTCAATTTGGTAACAAACAGACATACTTGATATGTTTTTGCAAAATTCTCCTCAACTTTTTTTCTTTTATACTTTAATCTGAAAATAAAATGATTGAATGCATTATGAGTTTATCACTACGGTTGCGACCTGCCAGGTCTAGATTATATTAAAACTTACGTGCTGTATCTAAATGTGAATTTCCTTGCCTTGCACCAGTTTTTCATTCAAAAGTTAACCATTAAATGCTAGTAGTTAATTTAGTTAATAATCTCAGATGTCAATGTAATAAAATTTGATTCCCTTTGTTTATTTTTCAAACAAATTATAAAGCCTTCTATGAGCCTGGAACCAAAGTAATATAAAATGCAACTTAAAGAACTAAAATAACGTGTAAAAAAAAAACAAGAGAAGCAACGTACCTATAGCACATGGTAGGCATGCGTTATACCTTCCTGGCCAACGTCCCAGGCTAACGAAGTCCAGTCAACTTTGATTGAGTATATGATTATACGCATATTATACATAAATTATATATATGTACATTATATATCTATCGGCTATTTTTAGTTTAAGTAATTTGGAATATGGCAATTTAGGTTAATCTTCTTTTTTAAAATTAAACTTGTCATATTATTAAATCTCACAGGGTAATACAAAATTCGGTGACTTTTGGCATATAAAAAGATAGATAACTAACTTTGATGACCAATTAGTCCATCTGAGCAATTAACTCTAAGCATATATCCTCGTGTAAGAGAAAAGACAAGGTTGCTGAAATTGCTAATCGATGGCAGGTGGGGAGGTGGTGTTCAGTTTATGGAAACATTAGCTCTTCTTTTTACAAAGCTGAATTATCTATCAGTTTCTTAGCTAGTACACATTGCTTCTCTGATTATAAATTTGTTTCAAGACATAATTTCCTTTTGTTTATTTGCACAATTACTATGAGAGGGATATAGTACCAACCTCTGCAGTGCATGGGGAAGGTAAATAACAAACAACTCTATTAGTTAAACTTTTAAGGCAACCTAGCTAACTTTGGCTGCCATCTAGTATAATTCAAATTCTATCGTACTAAATGAATAAAATAAAACAAGAATGGTGATTTTTTTGGTCCGATTGCATGGTGATTTATTGATAATGTGAAGCAATTGGCCATTGAGAAGCAATATTCAAATTTCCTTCATTGCTGATGTTTATACTTTAATCGTGCTAACAAAAAATGCACTTGAAAAACATGAAAAAGTAAAAGAAACAAAAAAAAAGGGTATACATGATCTACTTTATTTATTTATCTGTTGTAACGACCCGACCGGTCGTTTCGTGAATTATAGCCTCGTTTCCCCATTTGTGCTTCTTTATGTGTTGTTCAGCTGTATTATGTCGTATCGAGTTGGTTGGTTCGGGCTCGGAGTGGGTTTGGAGTGGAATGAGACACTTAGTTTCTTATTTAGAGGTATAAGTTGGAAAAGTCAACCGAATGTTGACTTATGAGTAAACGATCTCGGATGTGAATTCTGATGGTTCGGTCAGCTCCGTTAGGTAATTTTGGACTTGGAAGCGCGTCCGGAGTGTGATTTGGAGGTCCACAGTAGAATTAGGCTTGAATTAGCGAAATAGAAAATTCGGCGATTTTCGGTCGGCAGTGAAAATTTTGATATCGCAGTCGGAATGGAATTTCAGAAGTTGAAGTAGGTTCGTAGTGTCATTTGTGACGTGTGTGCAAAATTTTAGGTCATTTGGATGAGGTTTGGTATGATTCGGCATCGTTTGCGGAATTTGGAATATTGAAAATCCTTAGGCTTGAATCCGGGAGTATTTGGGTGTTTTGATGTTGTTTTGAGTGTTCCGGAGGTTCGACTAAGTTCGTATGTTGATATGTTACACGTTGGTATATTTGGTTGAGGCCCCGAGGGGCTCAGAACGATTTCAGATGGTTAACGGAAAGTTTGGAATTGAGATTGTGCAGCTGAAGCTGCTGCTTCTGATGTTTCCGCATCTACGAATAGGGGACCGCAGGTGCGAGGTCGCAGATGCGATAGGGAAGCTGCAGATGCGGAATTAAAAGGCTAAGGCAAGAACCGCTGATGCGGTGGGTTTGACGCATCTGCGGGCCCGCAGGTGCGGTTTTTGGGGCTCAGATGCGGTCGTGGTCTTTTAAGTGAAAACCGCAGGTGCGGTTGGCTGGACCACAGAAGCGGTTGTGTAGGTGCGTGAAGGAGGCCGCAGGCGCGAAAATGCCTGGGCAGAAGGTATAAATTAAATGCTTTGCGAATTTTTGCCCATTTCCACCATTTTTGAAGACGGGATTAGAGCTTTTCGAGGGTTTTGAAGAGGAAATCAAGGGGAATTTCATTGAGGTAAATTTCTTGAGCCTAACCCTCGTGATTGTGGTAATTTTCAGTCATTTAAGCATGTAATTAGCAGGAATTTGGGATGAAAATGAGGAATTAGGGCTTGAATATTGGAGAGTTTGATTTGGGAATTTGAGGGACCATTTGTTGTCGGATTTTGATGAATTTGTTTGGATAGACT